CAGTGTAGTGATTTTGTGGAAACTAGATATTGTTTAAAAGATAATTCAACTTATTAACAGTCACGTACCATAACTTAAAAATGGAAAGTACCGACATTTTATGTAACTTAACTTATTATTCCGTGTGTATGGTACGCGTATTGGATAGAAAACACGGCCACCACTCATCAAGGTTTTAATTTAAATATCGAATGGAAATACCTCTCCGTCCGTTTTTCGAATGCCACCGTTTGCCGATTCCAGTCTGTCGAAACCAAGATTTCCGGATATCAGACTGTCGACTCCCACTTGGCTGAATCCAAATTGCCGAATGTCGATTTACAGCGGGGATAGCTTGTATCAGATTCAAGATAAGGCAACAAAAAAGAACAAAACGGAGAACATGTGCAGATACACTCTAACGTGATGACTCATCCAATTTACTATATTCTTGACAAACTAGTAAAATCACGAAAAACACTTTGATGAATATCTTGGACCTATCCTCAGTGTTTCGGCACAAGAGAGTGAGTCCGAGGACACAAGGCTCCGCGTTGTGGAAGACGGAACCCTCTAACCATGGAGCTATAAAACTAATTTTATAGATCCATGATCTAACCTAACTCTTATTAACTAGTACCGTAGCGATTATTAACTACAGTTAATTGATTGATTCGGGGGGAAAAACTTGGGTAGATACCCTCTGGAATCGTCATACAGTGTCAGTGAGTGCGTATTTATATTGGTGCTTCAGCAACAGTTCTTGTCATTTCGTATACTGGGGATTTTCGATTTTATCAGTTCAGGAATCTTAAAAACAAACGGAGGAGCATGGTTGGTAGGGTAAGCTGATTAGACTTCAAAGCAAAGCACAGAATCCTATATTGAAGTCAACTTGGTTGCAAATGCCAGGCTTTACATGATATTATCTTGTTATCCATGACACCTTCTTTCACATGGCGGGAGTTGGTATTAGCATTACGGATGTAAAGCCCAGTATATTTGTAACAATCTTTTCCGTAATAAAATTATTTCCGAGTTTAAAATTCTTAATGACATGTGCCCAGAAAGGAGGTCATTATTTAAAAGCAATTAAAATTTCGGGCAAAAATCGCCCTTTGGTTTTCAAATGTGGTTCATCTACCTCGGCTTCATACTAACCAACATCCAGGTTATGGGCATAGAAAATAAAGTTAAAATTCCTAAAATTAAAGATGTTAACTCCAAGGTTTTCGAGAAAAATGAGTTTTTCGGTAGGTGGTGTGGAAGTAGAATGGGCGTGGTTGTTTGACTACTAATAAGCAACCGTGAGAAGCAGCTTTAAGGAGACAGCCATAGAGTGGCAGTCATAGAGAGGCAGTCATAGAGGAGACAATCGTAGAGAGGCAGTCATAGAGAGGCAGCCGTAGAGAGAGCTTCATTTTCACATCATTCCCCCACAACAGGGCTGAAATGAATCAGAACGTGGGAGTAACTCCAACATATGTAAATTGTTACTTTAAGGTGCATACGGGCCAGATGTGTACACGACCTCTGATTACGTCCTTATCCGAGAAGACTTCGTTTTGCCAACCGATCAATCCTGGGTGAGGAGGTCTAGAAGGATCGCTGATATGGCTAAGTTAGCGGCGCCCTTACCGCTCTGCCACTTGACTAGACAAAAACAGACGTTTGTAAATTTTGATGGTCTTCGGTTATCGTACTGTAAAGGCTCCAAATATTGTTTATGGTGGCTACCCATTAACGACAACCTGGAGAGGCTAAACCCAAATAGTAAAGCTACTTCTTCTATGCTTAAGCCACTTGGAGACTTACCAAGTAGTAATTATTTAGACTGGACCAGACTAGATTAGACTAAACTACATGAAAGGTACGGGTACCCGCATATCCAGATTCCCGAGAAAATCCGGGTTAATAAACCCACCAATCTCTTTCGATTCCTATACTATAAGTATAGTAGAAATGATATGGTCCACAGTATCAACTTTTATAAATAAATGTGAAATGCCAATATAATGGATGATATGACATCATTATGCCCAAATATGGATGTGATATGAGATCATCATGCCCAAATATGCACGTAATGATATCGTTATGCCAATATGGGCAATTCACTAACATTCAGTCAGTGTTTCTTGAGTGGTTTTCGAAGACGTGTGGTCGGAAGGGGCGTGGCTCATGGTCGGACAGGGCGGAATTTATGGGCCGAAGGGGCGGAACCTCATGGTCCGATTGGAAGGGCTTATAGAGGTTCTCTTCCCTTTTGTGGGGGGGGGGTCCAAGAGGGATATTCCTTCTAGTTCTTAGATTTAGACAATTTAACCTTAAATATGAGTACTAGTCCTTACCTGTTCTTATAATAGGCCTAGCAGTTGTATATGATCATTGGTGACTTGGATGATGAAAACCCATCATCTATTCATGGACATGCCTATGTTGATAATATTCAGATTTCGTATATTGAATATTCATGAATATTTAAATAACGTTTAGGAGTACGATTTAATATAATAATAATTGTTATGAATTTATAAAGCGCATAATGTACGGTAGTAAATTTATACATTGCTATTACAAAGCAAATTTAAAGCCGCAACTAATATCTATTTAAATAATCATGAAATAGGATTCTAAAACCTTTTTGAAGGACGTGCATAATTTTAAAAAAATAGTGCAATAGTGCAGTATAAGCAAGCGACTGACGGGTATTAATTATGCAGCTTACCTGAGTATAAGGAGCACGTGAGATTTTTCTAATTTAGTATTCCGTGAATACACGGCACGGTTCCATTTACTTATTAGATTGGAGCATGTTGATGTGATAAGGCATAGTAGGCCTATGAAACAGTATGTATATCGTGCTTGATATATGTTAGGTCAAGCAGACGCCTTTTCATATCGTATCTTGTAGCGTCTGCCATAGAAGGAACGTATTATTTTCGTCTGATATTAAAATCAAACCCTGTCTGAACTGAAAGACCAGGTACACAGTTGAATGTTATATAGGCCTACTTAAAATTTAGTATACATTCATTCCATCGTAATATAAAATACGAAGATCATTTAACGAAATTTATTCCCTACAGGCCTAAATTTAATCTAACTATATTGACATTGCCAATTATAAACCATAGAATTTTAAAAAAAAAATGTTTTTCTGCGCAACAAGACTTCAGTAGTGTGATTTGGTGACATTAAAGCCAGGTTCCGCAGGAAAACAATATCTTGGTATATTATACAATTGATTTTTCTAAGAAAATGAATGGGTGTTTAAAAACTAGGAGGGGGCGTCAGTTATGCATTTAAATGAAGTTAGGCCCATCATAGATGAATGAATAGTAGGCCTATGTGCTTGTGTGACAAAATGGTGGCGACTAAATTTGCTGGTGATGACGTTACCATTATTCTTATGAATATTTATACAATATTCATGTATGGTTTTTACTGCCATCCTAGGGTTTTCAAAGTTCGAGGTTTAAAGGAACCTGTTGACCATAACTACGTGTGTCTTGTGAATAAACTACTTTGAAATGAGAATTTCTCATTTGATCTTTAAAATTAAAATTAAAATTAAATCCTGTATAAAGCCACCATAGGCCCAGAGCCTAAAATTTATACAGTACCGTAGTCTGTTATACCATTCCATTTTCGTCAATCCTTCACTGCATTGGAACATTGCTGGATTTATAGACCTTTTTATATAGGCCTACGTATACGGTAATCCATATAGGCATGGGCGAATGCAGTATTCAAATTATCATCGATTAAATTGTTTCATGATTTTATAGAAGCATACAAATGACAGATAATTTTGGGGAAACTTGTTCCAAGTGTTGAAAGCTGTGGGCCCCAATACGATAACTGTTTTGAATGTGATTCTTATTTATACATATATATAATTTAGGGTTTGTCTCTTCACGTGTTATTTGTCATTTAAGATGCTTAAGAAGAGGGCGTATCACATTGATTGCTGTTTGACTGTGCATCAAATACAGTAGTGTTGTATTGGCATACTGTAGATGGCGAGATGAATTGCTTCCAATAATGTATCTGTGACCTTCAGCTTTTCTATTTTCAAGGGGAAAAAGCATCCATTTTGGTGAATTTCAAGCAACATTTGGCACTGTAGCCAACATAATCCATGCCTCTCATTGCTAACTCAGCATCCATATTAATGCTTACACCAGTTATCCTCATCAGGCATTCGAATACTTTGCATTTTATGTACATTAAACATGGTCCCTGTCAGGTTGTGTTCCGTTATCTCCAACCTGCGTGCGGTAAATCATTTTATAGGCCTATTATTATTGCCTTTCTTTGACGTGTTAATTCACAGTGTACGTTATGTTTTCACTATACAATTGATTTGAATTAGAAAGATTCAGTGTAATACTCTCTTTAAGACTTCAATTTCCCTATTATCGTACTTTATTTGACAGTTATTTCATCTATCAGCAAATTATATTTGAAGAAACGTAATACCAATAGATGCAGGGTGTATTGTTGTGGCCTATTGCATGTGCGACACCATCGTAATTAATGCGACTTCGAGGGGCCGTCTTTAAATTTCACTATTGAAAATCATGTCGGGTTTGAATAAATTTAGAAAAAGGAGTTGTAAGAAGTTTTATAAAATGGAATAAAAAAATAATAAAGTTTGGTGAAATAATAGAATGTGTATATAATAATAATAATAATAATAATAATAATAATAATAATAATAATAATAATAATAATAATAATAATAATAATATAAATTAAACTAGTGTTGTGAGCCAACCACTATATAGAGCGTGGTGGTGATTTATTTAAATGAACAAAATTATTTAATTTTTACATCTGCTGTTTATTTATACCTGTCAACCAGTGATGTTGATTTTAAGCATCACCTCCCCCCCCCCCGAATTTTTTTTTCTTGCTTTCTTCTTGAAACATGAAATGTCGGCTTATATCTCAGTTTTGTGGACATGTTGTGCCACAAAATAATACCATTTGAAATCCACAATCATAGCCATACCACCAGGCCAACACTCAACACTGTCTTGTGTTTAGACGTAAGTCAAATACAATTAGGCCTATCCTAAGTTAAATGTTTTACACTTAAGTACAAATATGAAAAAAACTATGATACCGTAATAGGCCTATGCATTGCATGGGTTAAACGATTTCGTCCTTACTTCCTATAATAATGTATTCGAAAATGAAATGATGACAGGAATCTGTAAATCGACCTAATGATATCAATATACTCGCTATTGCATACATTTCCTGGAAGTATTCCTGATGCCTTTATATCCTTATTATTTCCCCCTCGGCACTCAAAAGTTCACCACAGTAACACTATATCACTATATCAGGGAAATACACTATACAGTACTCGTATAGAAATAATGTCGTTACAAACAAGAACAACAACCAATGATTACTAATCATTTAAAAACAGTCTGTTTATAATAAGTACAGTGGTATGCGTATAATAATATCTCAACAACTTACATTAGTCCCTATATTTGAATATGGTACTGAAACACCTCTCACTGAGAATATAGGTAGGCCTATATGCCTTTTCAATCCTGTCACTATATTATGTACGGTTTTTTTTTTCTTTCTTTTTTGTGATTTCTTTAGTTTCTTTTTTTTTTTTTTTTTTTTTTTTTTTAATTTTGTTTAAAAATATTTTACTTGACGAAATATAAATAGGATACAGTATGTGAGTAATATGAAACATTTGCCGATCATAAAGTTTGAACTTGATAAAGATGCAACAGAAAAAAAAAACTGGATCTAGTCTTGTGGGAGTAAAAGGCACGCATAAGTATGTCAGCACATTGTAAATTGTGGATTTTTTTTTCAATGTTCATCAGCTTTATTTTTACCAACTGTGTCAGAATTAGCGATTGTTCCCTTCTTCAACGACATACCCACGAATTTAATATCAGAGAGGGCCCAGGAAGGGACTTTCACAGGTGGAGGGTTTATACCACCTCAGCCCCACCATAGTTGGATGTTAGGTAAGAAATTTAAGGTATGGGAAACGGCACTCTCAGACTTAAATTTTAATGTATTTTCCTTTTATTCTCCATTTTATATATTTTTGGAAAATTTAGGATGTGGTGTGGGTGGGACGGCCGAAAAAGAATACCTTCAATCCGCCACTTGTGTTACCTTGTGGATATTTCATTTCGTTTTGTTTTATTTATTATATTTAAGCACATAAGCCAATGATTATAGTAGCAAACTGAATCAATTTCGACTTTAAAGAAAAATGCATACAGTAACTATTCTTTTGAGTTTGTTATATAAGTGCAGTGAAATTTTGCTCTGGCTCTCAGAGATCTTGTTCTTTTTCTTTTTTTCCAATTTCAATCTCAAAATATTCTTATTTTGTTCTTATTTTACATACTTAGAAAATAGAAAGTTATTATACAGAAGTAGCGTATATTACTGTACTGTATTACAGAGGGTATTAGTCACACCTATAGACCGCACGTATGGTACAGAAAAGACCGAAAAACATTTTACTCTATAAACTTTTTAAACACTAATACTTTACTGCGGGCCTATGATTTCTTTACTGTATTTCACTAGCTTCGTTTGTTGTTTTTTTCTAACTTAAAAACAAAATAAATACAATCTCATTTGACAACTGACATCTTACCTCAGCCTCAACTTTTTATTTTTTAAAGCAATTTCAGCCTCGGTGTTCTTATGAAACGGATTGTTATTTTATTTTTTTTAATGTATAAAATAGTATCTCTGGCAAAGCATGATCACTCCGACCATGCTCCGACCATAACAACGATGACCTGGGTCGCTGTTTCTCTATTTACGCGAAGTTCACGGCCATTCGAATGTTGACGAGTTTTCTCTCCAGAGGTATCTAGTAGGAGGCCTTTCTAACGTGATTCCAACTCAACAGAGTCTTAGTAAAATACAAAATATTTCAATATAGTATTTTTGATCAAACGTATCGACGTTGCTGTTCTTTTCATCGTAGGTGAAAAATAAGGTTAAGTGAAGTAAGTAAACCTTTTCTGATTTATAATTCCTAGTATCAAGGAGTTGTTATGATGGTGTATACATATTACTACCTGGTTGCGTTCCACTTGGTTGGTGTTTATACCTGATGTTTTCCCCACACGCCTCGTAAATTAGCCTGGATAATCATTGACATTATTATATGGCATTTTTGAGTCACAGAACATAGATAGTACACTGTAACTTTGTGTTGAATACCCCACCCGATTGTTATGACAATAATGAGAATTTGTACTACCGCTAAAATGTGTATGTATATAGTGGTAGTGGTAATTCCTATCTACTTCTACAACTACTACTGCTACTGCTAGTGCCGAGAGTGGGCGGGGAAGCCGGAAAGTAGCGACCCGGGAAACTAGGTTGGAAAAACATTATCAATTCTAGAAAAATAATCGTTTAAAATATTACTCATCTAAAAACCTAAACTAAAGCGCTATCTTTTGGAGGTTACGCGATAGACCCCCCCCCCCACTAGCATCCCGCCATTCGACCACACCGGGGCCCTTAAAATAGACCACCCTAGACCTTTTGAATGGAGCCCGCCAGTCCCGGGACCTATGCATGCTCTCTATTATTAGGTTACCTTGCGCGGCCTTGAATAACATCTCCATCATGAATTATCATAATTCTAGGCTCTTTTACTTGAGTATGGTCCTTATCGTTGTCATATTATACATATTTGTGATTTGCCCATATATGGGCTCACATGCTGTCCATTTATGACATACAGTTTGATAGAGTGTACAGATTAGGTTAATCATGTTTATTAACCTAAGATTGTTTACAAAAACGGTTATACCCTATCCTATTATCGTTGTACGTCGTAAACACTCTTAGGTTAATAAACACATGATTATGATATTTTATTGCTATTAACATTAGCGAAGCTGTATGTTGGTGTTCGTCTGCTTACTTTTCAAACCCAGGTCATGGGTTAAAATACTGTAAAAAAAACAAAAAAAAACCAGTATTTCTCACACGACAAACATGGGTCTCAGGTTAGTATTAATTTTATACATAAATTCGGCACTTTCTGCTTTGGAAGAACATTTGCCATTTATTGAATGAAAAAAAAAATCCTTTTATGCGTTTAGGTCTACGTATTGAGATCACTATCCATGAACCTTGTGGAGAAGATATTTATAAGTACTGTATCATGAAATTTTCTAATAGGCTGAAGCACTCTTGGCGTCCATAACCTATATTGGCTTTTCACATGCTAAGGAAAATGCTCTTAGCAATAATATTTTTGCATAATAATGGACTCTGAGAAGTACTGTATATAAACAGGAGATGCCGATTTCCACTGCATGCGTTGAACGACATGCAGCCGGTATTCAAATATAACCTTCCCTTTAAACCTGTTTTCTTGTCGACGTTATTAATGTAAAAAAAAAAGCCGCCGCGAAAAATTAACGATTTACATGAAAAGGCGTTGCTTTTAAACGTTACAGTATTCCTGTCGCAAAGCGAACGTAGCGATACAGTTCAACTTTCTGTCGTCGTTTCGCGTTAATTTAAAATAATCCTGGATAGACAATTTTGGAGTGTCAATCAAACTTAACAACTAACTAATCACAACAGATTCAGGAATACGCGTTTGTGCCACAAACCACAGAACGGGGTCAGTGCCCAAACACACGTGTTGCCCACACACACACACACATCCACACCCACCCCCCTCCCCACTCACAAACACACACACACACGGGTTTACTACGTACGTTTACTCTATCGTTATGAGAATTCTACAAGGGGCGGGGCATAGCGAGCGGAATGTTTCATTGTTTCTAATTAGTTTCCCGTTTTCCCTCATCCCGTTACCGCGCCCAATAGAAATCAGTCTCTGTAGGCCTAACACGAGCCTCATAATTAGGTCAAATATCTTTGTATTGCTCAAGCCCTCAACCTAAAATCTAAATACAATCTATATGGTCGGCTTTATTTTATCAGAGTATTATATTAAATTTATTCGACTTTCAGGTAAAGTGAGTTATTAAACAGCATAACACGAAAGCCTATAAGGAGAACTTGACCAAATAAAGAAAAACATCAAAGCAAAATAATGAGTGACGTAAAAAGATTATTGACGGTGATAATTAGCTACATGGTAAACCAAGAGAATCTGTATCAAAAGACGTCACACAAATAAATATAAAGTTATATTTTGTCAAATAGTCATGTTGATGAAATCCCCTAAACTGTATGATTTGTTTAGTGATAGTTAATTTTCGTTATGTTGGTGTGGTTGAGAAATTGATGCATCAATCAAGGAGACGAAATTTCCTAATTATCATCGTTTACCCACGATCAATATAAATAACCTTATTTTATCCTAATGTTATTATATTAACAATACATTTTATCCGGTGGTATTGTTACTCATTAACCTTTGGAATGTTGCGGGTGAATTCTTCATACCTCAAGGCTGATAAGCTGGTAGGACACTTGAAGTAACAAAGGTTAATGCCTCATAAGGTATCTCCGTGAGTGACCTTACCAATGTCATTTTAACAATTTCAAATTTACGAACATATTTCGCATTATCAACATTGACGTTCCCCATGTTTTTGAGTATTTGATCTGCTGTTACCTTTCTACATTTCCATTCTCAGGAGATGAGTGGCATCTATATTTGAAACTTTATGGACAATTTTGAGTTTTAAATCCCTTTCAAGCTAAATTGGGTTTTTCAATATGCACGTTTTATACTTGTAATATGCTGTCTCTTATACACAAATCAATATTTCTATTTTTCATTGCGATTTATAACTTTCCTATTCTCAATACTCTTTTTCTACAATTCCACGCATTTTATATATTTGTCTTCTCTCCGTTTCTCTAGTGTTGTGTCTCTTTCTTTTCTTTTCTTTTGTAATCTGTTTGGGCTCTGTCCCCTCCCTTGTCATTTATTTTAAGAATGTTCCTAGGGAGTTTTCTAAATGTTTTCCTTTTATCAATTTTTGTAATGTTTTTTATATGTTTATTGAAAAAAAAGTTATTTTTAGTAATCATTCATATATTAATGGCCTATATACCTGAGAAATAATCCTGGCCTTATCTTTGCTGGGTCCCTAAGAGCATTTGAACTTCTCAGTCATTCGGAAAAGCATTGTCACGATTCATCAAAACATGGAGAATAAATACGTAAGCAAAATTTCTACAATTAGTTTAGGTCCAATGAACTTACAATTCAGCTTCATGGTCCCACCCGGCGTCATACATGGAGAAATTCTCCGATGTTGCTGAGGATTAAATGCAGACGAATATAAAACTATCTCAGTCAGTATCTTCTTTGATGATTTCAAAGACCTTTTAAATCTGGCCTCACGTTGTACAGTATGTTGAAATGAAGTCAACGTCAACACACTCTTGCAAGAACCTTAGTTATTGATTTTGCGATAGGCCTTCTGGTGGTGTTTTACTTTTCTTATATGCAGCGCTTAAGAGATTTAATTCTTTCATGGAATAAAGACAAGCAAATGTAATAATTGTATTGTATTTTCTCAATACTGTTAGATTAAGTTAAACATTTCTGTTTCAGAGCAATTCTACTTTCTTTATTATATAAAATCACAACCATTTCGTAGTGAAATTACAGTAGGAGAATAATCTCTTAGTTTGAAGTGCATGACTACGAAGGTCATATGCACAAAGACATAATGAACACAATCTTATATAATCGTTTGAATCTGCGATTATACATTGGGAGTCAATGCATAACTAAGCATATAGGAAAATTTAAAAAGTGTTTCATTTTTTTTATATAGGAAATCTTTTCATTAATTGACGAGAATTGTGTTGGTGTCAAATATTAACTTGCAATATGGAAAGTTAAGTTTCCCAGAAAGCATGAAAGACTCGTAATGATCGGGCTTCTTTGTATATTTCCAAATATTATTTGACATGTTAGATCACGTGGTAAATACTTTTCAACGAAATGTTTTAAAATGCATTTTAGAAGATATGTTTATAATCATTTATTTCGATTCGACCATAGACTAGTTCACGTATCTTCGAATAAATTACTTTACATTTTTTCCTCTAGTGGAGCCAGGCTTTAATCCTTTTGGTCTTATCAGGGAGTTTATTTAGTTTCTCCAGACACAATTGCATTTTGTCTATGTCAAGTTTTGTCTTATTTCCACTGCTGCATTGTGTGAATAAAATCTGATTCTAAAATCTAAATCTGACGTAGACCTATATTTAAAAAAAACCCTTAAAGACTAGAGACCCGGAAAAATTGCTCAAAAGCATTTTTAAGAGAGAAAAAAAAAAACATTTGATAACCGGGATAAAATTTGTTTATAGCAATAATAACAACTGGAAATTGAGTGCACTAGTAAGTGTACTGGTACCTAATCTCTTTCACGATAGGCCTACTTATACATGATATCCCATAATCTGTTGGAAATTGTATACCGGCAGCATTTTGCTGAAGATGATACACATCTGGTAATAATGTTACTCTGGTAAGCGATTCATTATAGACTTATGAATAATGTAAACAATTGGTATAATGATGCCCACATTTGTATTAATACTGACAACAGATGCGTATGTGATCTCAATAAGGAGTAGGGCCCCGGGCTGGGCCTATAAATAAATAATAATTATCCAAACATACGCCTTCAGATCGGTGGCACTCAAACAAAACTTATTTGATGCATTCATAAATTATACAAGACAATCTTATTAATATTCCTAACTACTGTACATACAATTGAAAAAAAAAACAATAATGAATCAAAACACGTAATTCTTAAATACGGTATGTAATAAACATAATATTTGCTGCTGATGAGACAGGAGCTCGTCGAAAGCATGAAAAAGCTATAACAATTGCATGAACAACAGGCTTCACTTGTCACGAATTTTAAAGAGCCAACTGTATCACCAATTAAAGCTACAGAAAAATAGAGGGAAAATAATTATCTATAAATTACACAGTAATTACAAGGTTTGAAAATGCTTAATTTCA